GCATTTTCCCCATGTTCCCATAGTCAGAACTACATGAAATTTACAGCATACATGCATTTGATGTGTATCTACCAGAATACGAGTAGAAGCCTCACCGGACACATGCTGGGGGAGGAGAATGAGCCCGACGCGACCCTCCATCGATGCGCCATTCGGCTACCTCACCTATTGAAGCAGCAAGCGCCCGCCCGCCCTCCCGCCTCACTTAGTCTACAGCGTCGGTCGTCGTTCCGCTGCTCGTTGACCTCTCCTCAGCTCAGTTGCTGAGTTTGTATTCTAGCCATGGTGTACTGTTTTTTCTGAGGTATATTCGCGCGGGGGAGTAGCTCTGGAAGGGGCCTCTGGTCACATCAATCGTCCATCACCATTCAGGCGCCAGCTCAGAAGGAGAGGAAAAAAATAAAGTGGGAGAATTGAGGGAGGCTAGTACTGCCTGGCCTGACTCAATCATGATGGCGGTATGCTCGTTCCTGGGGCCCACTGATGCGGTTCAATGTTACTTTCTGTGATGTGCCCTGCAAGCCGCCGTCGATATAAAGTCTCCCGAAGGCCTGTCATCCGGACCTCCCTACTCTGGGCTTCTGATCGCATCCAAACCCTCAATCACTCTCGTATACTGATGCCTGAGATGCATGCCACGAACGGTGTGTTTTCACTAGCATAGTGCCACACATGTATAACAATTAACCCCTGCTGATGCCTTGTCTCCGAATCCGCATGTACGGAATGCAGAGGCTCTCTACTCTCGCACTACTATTGCGACTGACAAGATTATCAGGGTCGTGGACGCCACTCACAAGGTCAACGCGCGGAATGGATCTCTGCCTCTCCGGGTTGTTCTGCGTACGTGTCTTCTCGAGCATCAATCGGCACATCTCTCATTACAGTATGAAGCTACATATGAGCCCGTTGGCGTCTTCGGAGTTAGTATGGTGGACAGCCCCAAGTCATTTGCGCCTCCCGAGGACTTGTTGACAATCAATGCTGGGACGCTGTGCTCCTGCCGCACACTTCCTGCTCGGATCCGTAGTCACGAAGCCATTCAAATGACTCATTCAGGCTCCTGGATCAACTGATACCCTGATAAATTACCAACTATTCAAGCCTCATGAGTCTCCTGTACTCGTACAGCGACTGAGAACTGTCAACAACTACAAGAGTTCTTCAGAGTTCAAATGTCAACGGTCTCGTGCACGGAGGCCATGAACATCCGTACCTCTGCTCCAAAGAAAAGTATATTGGACAATGTCATTCATTCCAGCTCCCAGTAGCAAACGACAGCGGAACCATCGTTATGGTTGACATGTATATGTATATGACGCTCGTGGCGAGGGTGACTTCGTGTTGACTATAGCTCTGACATGATATCTGTGGGAATGTTGAGCAGACTCGTCGACTTCATGACGTTATCTCAAGAGCTCTCACCGTCGATGCGCTCGAGGCCCGTCATGTCTGAATCTTCGAAGAATCTCTGCACTCGCGTTCCTTGATCCCAAGTAAGAGCTTCCAAACGTACGGTTTCCTCCTCGTTTCGCATGACCCTCCACCACTCCAAGCTCTTTACGAAGTGTGCGTACCACGAGGCTTGATATTCGTACTCGTCAGAGTCATCGAGATGGTCGCCAACGCTCTCGCTGAGCGGGCGGGGCACGTGTGGGGTTCCGTCGTAGTCCGCATCCGGCTCTTCGTCAGCAATGGCCACCACACGAAGGCCATGGATCGCATTCGTAAGACGGCGGGGAAGGCTCTTCATGATTTGCACCCGCGTGGAGTAGAGCTCGCGAGCAAGTTTCTTCTGCGCGTCATATACCGCATCGTCATACTCGTACAACGGGTCGTTCGAGTACTGTAGTTTCGAGAGCTCTGGCATCTTCCCACAATGGAGCCGTAGGCCGATGAGAGGAAGCGATGCTAGCATTGCGGGGATATTGTCCTGTATTTTGGTGATGGTGAGTCTAGGAACTACTAGGACGGACATTAGTTGCGTGATCGACTCACCAACCAACTCGGAGACTCGCGATTCGAATCCAGCGTTGATGGAAAGACCAGCCTCAGCTCTGACCTTCATTCGTGGAGCGGCCAAGGAGATTCGCTGCCAGAATTCTGTGGACTGGTCCCCGATGACCGCCGCTAGCTGCGCCCGAACAGGCGAGACCGTCCGGACTATCTCCACCAGTGCTGCGGCTTGCCTTTCTCGTAAGTGGACTCCTAAGTGGTGAGTGGAGAGAAGATTGTCCTCCAAGGTAGTACGAGTGATTCTCAGGTGGTACGCGGTATTCATGAGTTCCGTCGCATAGAGGGCCGGCAGTATTGAAGAGAAAAGTACCGAGCGAAGTGGGGAAAGGCGCGGCCCGGGACGGCTTGCAACGCGGAGCATCAAGTCGAACTGACCCCAGGCTAAGTCTGCATCGAGCGTGTGTAAGTACGGAGAGAGACATGCCAAATCCAGTACGTCAGACGAGCAGCGGAATAAGAACAGCTTGCGTAAAGCTGGAAAGGTAGGGGGTGTATAACCATCGATGTCGCGAAACGACTTGTCATCAGTCCGAAAGTCCGCGATATCGAGCGTGTGAAACTGCGGGAACGCCGCGATTGTGTCGAACAGCTGTGGCCACAATTCCTCGGGTGGGGCAGTCACCCGAGAGGGAAGCGCAGTGGCATAGTTGTGGAGCGATAGGACAGTGAGGTTCCACCTCGTCGACTAAAGGAAGTTCATGGAGGCGCCTTTCCCTACCCCCGCGAACTCGATGCGGTTGAGATTGCGAAGGCCGAGAAGGACGGTTTCCATCCGTGGGTCGCGCTGCAAGGAGGCGTCGACTTCGCAGAGAGTGAGTCGGCGGAGCTTGGGGGCGTTAGAAATGAGGTCCAAAATGAGTGAGAGCATATCTGGATTACTGTCCCGAACTTGCGGCAGATAGGGAGCCTCTCCCTGTAGAAAGATAGGTGCGTGAATGACTAGATCCTCGATGTGATGCGCGCGAGGTCGTGGGCCGTTGAGTAAGACCCGGTGGATGAGGGCGAGTCTGTCTGATCGCCTACATTTCACCACGGCGGCAACGCGATGGATGGCAACTTCGTAGGTGCGCTTCGACGCCAGTGAAAATCTGAGCGCATTTCCACCATAGAGCTTGTCTACGACATGATTTAGGACGTCCTCGTTCAGATCGAGTAGATGTAAAGGCATGTCGGGATTGTGTAGGTGGTAGACCGTGCACAAGGCGCAAGCCTCGAACCGCCTTCGCGTGCGAAGCCCGGCGCGCGCTCATCTTTCCTTTTCCGTCCCACGCTCTACAAGTATTTCTTTCTCATTCGTCGTGTAACCTCCGATTTTCACCGAGGGCGACTCATGCCCCACTGTTCTAGCAATCCGCAGACCTATTAGCCATACCAACCCCACTCTCGAACCTCAACACATACACCAGCCTGCGTATACAGAAGGAAAACGCCTCTTGCTTCAACCAGCATTATAATCCTATAGTACCCGTAGTCAATCTCGTCATGCAGTCATCAGTGCCCAGCCTTCCTCCCCCTACGATCCCGTCCCAGCCCCACCCACGCCCGCAAGCACCTTGAACACCATCTCCTGCCTCTCCCTGAACGCCCTCAACTTCGTCATCCCCAGCGCGAGCGCATTGATCCTGTTCGCAAACGCCACCGCCCGCCCCTCCGTGCTCGTCCTCCGCCTTCTCAGCACCTCCCCCTCCCGCTCCCCCGCTCTCCCCGTACCCACGTCGCTCGGTCTTCGCGCGTACCCAACGCCCTTCTCCAGAATCTGGTAGACGCGCTCTAAACGCGGCACCGGGGGGTCCTCCCCACGCTGCAGGGCGCGCACCGTCGCCGCGCTATCCTCCTCCTCCATCTCGTGCAGCTTCGTCCCGATGCTGCACAGCTCCGCCATGAACGGCCTCAACGGCTGCGGACAGTCGCTCAGCGCCAGCGTCTGCCCCAGCACGCCCCTGAGCACCGGCTCCCTCGGGTCGCGCGACCCGGGACTCGGAGGCAGGCCCTCCTCCCTAAGCTTGTCTAGCGCAGAGTTCGGTTTTGTCGCGGACGAGGAGGCGACGTCCACGACGGCGAGCGCGACGGAGGCAAAGTACGCGCGCGCGGGGTCTGTGCGGAGCAGGCGGCGGAGGCCGGGACGGCGCTCGAGGACTTCCGCGAGAGCGGCGTAGAGCGTCTCGCGGATGAACTCGATTCCTGGTACGTCCTCCGCTAGGATCGTCGGGGAGAACACCTCGGACTTGGGGGAGGAGGAGCGGTCGGAGATGGAGGAGGCGACGGAGGATATAGATGGATTAGGGGAATGGCCGCGACGAGACGAAACGTTGGGAGGTCGAGCAGGGGAGAGTCTGGACGAGGACGCGGGGGGAGACCCGGGCACGGTGAGCGTAGACGACGATGTTGGAGGGGGAGACGACGGTGGGACATTTGAGCTCGACGAGGGCGGTGGGCCGTCGTCGTAACTCGGAGGCGGGACGAAACTCGCCTTGAGCGCCCTTCCCCCGGGAGAGCGCGGTACCCCACTGTCTAGTGCAACCTGCAGATCGCTCGCGTACTTCTCCTGGAATGTCCTCCGCATGCTGATCTCGATCGCCACAGCGCGCAGATCTGCAGCAATGCCGCTTAGGCGGCGATTGAGCGGGGTCGCCTGGGGCTCGAGCCCACAGATGATGCGGGCGAGGTCGTGTTGGTATTCTGGAGAGAGGGCTTGGATGGCAGGGACGAGCTGCGACCAGACGACAAGGAATTGGCGGAATGCTGGAGGGCAATTCGTGAGGGAGAGATCGGTAGGGTCTAGACTTGCGCCGTTCTTGGCTTTGCGGGGAAGGGGGACGGACGGTGGGTGGGTTGTTGATCGAAGTGCGGCGAAGTATAAGCATAGCGCGGGACCTACGGGAGACTGTGAAGATATCCGCAATAAAGAAGAGCCATAGAACGCACCAGTTATCATGAGATCGGCTTCTGCGCTCGCAAGCGCGTTCTCGTCCAGCAGGCCCTCCACCTTTGCATGAGACAAGGAAGATTTGAGATAGGAATGAAAGCATTCCTGGACGAAGTCTTCGGAGAGGGTGGGTTCCATGCCATCGACGGCCTGGATGACGTTGGACATGGTGGCGACGGGGAGGTGATGAGTGATGAGGCAAACAATGTGGAACCAACCCACGTCGAGCGTAGCTTATAGCTTCGGAGGCCAAGTGTGCCCTTGGTAGCGCCCCACAACGTCACGTGCACGGCGCAGGACGAGCACAGCCATAGGGGTGGCGGCGGCAGCGATGGCACCGAGTCTGACATTGACTGTGCGATCATCAGGAGGTGGTAAAGGCCGGAGCTTGAGGAAGGCGATGTACACAGCCCGACCGTCACGAAGGAGAGGTGAGGTAATGACACAAAGCAAAGAGGAAAAGGTGGCTGGAGGGATGAAGCGAAGGACCGAAGTAAGATCGCAGAAGAAGGGCGGCCCGATGGCGAAGGAGAGCTTCGCAGTTGAGGATAGCCTCAGACGGGGAGCAAGTCATGTTGGACGTGCCGGAGTGTTGTTCATGAGAAAGATCAAAGGACGAGCTTGATCGAGACAGAAAAGACTGCACGCAAGCACCCGTGTCCCAAAGCGACTAGCCAGATCTTGACTCGGGAGTCTCAAGAGACACTGAGACAGCGATGATGACGTAGAGTAGAGTAGCAAAAGTCGAGGGGCTGAGATGTGGCAAGCAAGTTCAGCTGTAGATGTCCACGAGTGCCGCAGAAAGGATCGGTTGATGCAAGTGGACAAAGCACGAAGTTAGCGCGAAAGCGTTGCAGAAGGAAGGCGTAGAAATGATTGAAGAGCCACAGACGGCCATTTGGCGTGAGGAACAAGGTACGGAGCTGAATGTTGAGACACGGGCTAGCGGGAAGTCGAGCTGGGACCCGGAGAGTGCATTGGACAACAAATGGATGCCAGCGTGGAGGTCCGTCGTCGTCGAGAGCAGTGAGCAGGACAGCGAGGACAGTGAGCAGGACAGCGAGGACAGTGAGCAGGACAGCGAGGACAGTGAGCAGGACAGCGAGGACAGTGAGCAGGCCACGGCGGCAGAGATCGCCACGCGCCCTACACGCGCGCCCCTCGTGAAAACGCGTCCGGTTACGAGCGTCACGTCACGCATCCGACACGTCTGTGGCTCCGTCGGCGGGGGCGTGTGGCTCTTGTCTACGTCCGTCGTGCACGCTGAATTTGCCACCGTCGACGCTCTCCGCCTTCGACGCTCTCCGCCTTCGACGCTCTCCGCCTTCGACGCTCTCCGCCTTCGACGCTCTCCGCCTTCGACGACCATGTCTGAACCAACCACTCCCCGCCGCTCTCAGCGCGGCCAGCCCGTCTTCGTCGTCGACAGGTTCGCCACTCCTCCCCCCACAGCCACTGCAGACGTCGTTCCCTCCGGCCTCCTCTGCTCTCGACCTTCAATTCCTTCCGACCTTCTCTACAACGAGGACCCACACGACCTTCCCATACACACCTATCGAACACACTTCTACACCTCCTTCTCTCGCAAATCTCCCAGATCTTCCACCCGCGCACCCACAAGGACGTATGGCAAGGTCTCCCGCCCACGTAGTAGCGATGCCTCCGCCGATGACGTCTACACCATCGGCGACGTCGTTCTCGTCAAGGCAAGCTCGACCACCAAGATCCCCAGCGTAGCAGTCATCGTGGCCATCTGGAACATGGACGGCGAAGGCTACCCCTCGAATGCTCCTCTACATGTCCTCGTCCATTGGTTCGTCCGCCCTAACGAACTTCCGAAACATAGGGTTCAGAGAGAATTCTGTGAGGTGTGTATCCGTCTTCGTCAACTGCCCCGTCCTTGGCTCGTTGTGACCGCTACCCTCCTCCTTGTATGTGTTTGGAGACCAACATCTCGCTACATTCCGGGATATATGCTACGCGCGTTGCGCAAGCGGCCCATAGTCAAACTCATCCATCGGTTGAAGCCCTCCGCACTTCCAACATGTCTCGAATACGTTGGAACTGACCCGTGCCTTCTCGACCGTTTTACGCTCGTCGGATGGTTGCCGTTGTGATCACGGATGTGAACGAGGCTTGTGTCCTATCCGACGTCCTCCTCAGTTCTCCTCTACCCCTTATTTCGAAGTATGCTAACCTTTTTAATCTTCACTATTCACAGAACGAGGTCCTCTACCACATCTCCGGCACAGCCGTCATCCCAGCCTTCTACATTCTTAACTCGTGCACCGTCTCCTCCTCGTCCGCCTCCGCCATCTGCACCTCCACCACCGTCTCCTCTGTCGCCAAGGTCTCCCACACATCGTTCTTCTGCCGACTCGCCGTTGACCCCCAGCGCGGGCTCTACTATGAGCTGAACTGGGACGCGCTCCGCGAGAGCGCGCTGAAGACCGTCCCGAGCGAGGACAAGCTTTTAGAGCACGATGAGAGCGCGACCGTCGCGTGGCCGAACGTCGAGGCCTGGACGGTCAAGCCTGTCGAAAGCGCCCAGCGCACAGGCAGGAGGCGCATTTATGCCGAGTCGGACTCCGAAAACGAAGGCAAGGGTAGGCAAGCCAAACCAAAGACAAGGAGAGGAGACGGGGCCAGTCCTCGCAAGCGGCGCCGCCTCTCCCGGACGGCTATAGACCACGCCTCAGACTCTGACCCCGACGCCGAGGGGTCCGAAGACGAGTTCCAGGCATCCCACGCTTCCGTGGACGAAGACGAAGACGGCAGCGGAGGCGAGCCCTCAGAGGACGAAGCCGAAGACGACCACGACAGCCTCGCACCCGACGAGCCCCGCACGCCCTCCCGCCGCGGGCGCGGCAAGCGAAAACGCGCCCCCACAACCCCCCGCACGCCTCGCACGCCCAAGACGCCCCGCCGGCCCCGCGCAGACAGAGTGACACTCGCGCAACCCACGCCCCATTCCAAAGCGGCGTTGCGCAGGCGCAAGAAGACCGCGCTCGCCGTGCGCCCCCCGCCCCCCGCGGAGGGGACACTCGAGCTCGCGCTCTCGAACGGGCTCGAGGGCGACGCGTGGGAGCGCGCGATGCACGTCCTACACGTGGCCGCGCGCCCGGGGGCGCTGCCTTGTCGGGAGCAGGAGTACGGGCGGGTGTTGCGGGCGGTGGAGGAGCTGCTTGAGGAGGGGAGCGGAGGGTGTATCTGTGCGTTTGGCCCTTCCTACATGTGCATGGGGGTGAACGCTGACTTTGACGATGGACGTCTTTGCTTTGCAGATATCTCTGGGGTTCCTGGAACGGGGAAGACGGCTACTGTGCACGCAGTGGTGCGCGAGCTGAAGCGTATGGCAGAGCAGAACGTCTGTATATGCACTCTGTTTTCTCTTCAATTCCGACGCTCAGCTTTATTCCCCAGGAAGCGAACCCGTTTGCGTATGTCGAGATCAATGGGCTCAAGATCCCCGAGCCCAACGCGGCGTACGGCCTGCTATGGGAGGCAGTCTGCGGGCATGACGCTGCAAGGGACGGGCACATGAAGATCTCCGCTAAAGAGGCGCTACGGAACCTCTCCAAGCACTTCAGCAACGCTAGTCGTGAGCAGGTCGGGCCCACGGGCAGTCATGCCTGGTACGCCGTGCTCATACTATGCTCTATGAGGATGTGTGATTGAATGACGCGCATACAGCGTGGTGTTGATGGACGAGCTCGACCAGCTGATGACGACGAAGCAAGATGTCGTTTATAACTTCTTCAATTGGCCTACCTTGGCGGGATCGAAGCTCGTCGTTCTGGCTGTTGCGAACACCATGGACCTTCCCGAGCGGGTGATGACTGGACGCGTGCGAAGTCGCCTCGGTACGCTTCTCTTGTCCCTTAACCCTTCATATATGCGCAACTCTGAGACTCCCTACCAACATCATAAGGCATGGTCCGCATAAACTTCCAACCCTACACGACCCCACAGCTCGAATCCATTGTGAAAGCGCGTCTCCTCGCCTCCAAGACGGCAAGCCCACCTCTGCCCCCCAACACGCCCGACGTCCTCGCCCCTGACGCGCTCAAGTTTGCTGCGATGAAGGTCGCTTCGATCTCGGGCGACGCCCGGCGCGTCCTCGACATCTGCCGACGCACCGTCGAGCTCGTTCATCCCCTTCGTAAGCCCGCGCGGACGGAGGACGTCAAGGCGGTCATCAAGGAGATGCAGAACAGCCCGACTGCGGCGTACTTGCGAGAGCTCGCGTTCCACGAGCGGCTCGTGCTCGCCAGCTTGCTCAAGTGCGTCAGGAGGGAGGGCGTGGAGGAGATCAAGTGGGCCGACGTGAGTTCCGAGGTCATCACGCCTGTTGGCTGATACTCCAACTTCGTTACGCTTGACAGGTGCAGAACCAGCACAGGATATATCTGAATCTACTCGCAGAGGACGATCCCTCCCGTCGGCCGTCTCCTGACGAGCTCCTGCTCGTGTTCGACGCGCTGCTCGCATCGCATGCGCTGGTTGCAGAGGAGGGCGCGGCTATTGCGCGTAAGCCTGAGGGCGAGCGGCGCGTCGCGCTCAATTTGGAGTACGCGGAGGTCGAGCGTGTGCTAGGTGAAGTGGGCGGGCCGAAGTGGCGAAATGCGCTCAACGTCTGAGCGACGCGATGCAGGCGCTGTCTGGCATAAATAGCGTATACTCGTGCGTATTCGTCATAACTGCTGCATACATACTACTACTGTACATGGCCTCTGAACGATATTCTGCTGATCAAATTTTGTATTCTTACAGTTAGCATTTCACATCAGGCTCATCACATATCATCCCTTTATCGTGTCCGGCATGTCTGGATTGCTTACGGGAAGAATTCTAGTAGTGTCGTGAGACGTTACAGGAGCCAGACCAGTCGATTTGAACTCACCGTCGATGCGCTCGACAGTCTCCATATCCGTCGCCTCCTCGAGAAATCTCTGCACCGCCTCTCCCGCCGCCTTCGTGAGCGGCCGCAGCTTCGTCGTCCTCCATTTCTTCTTAACACAGCGCTCGACTCGCCACCACCGTAGCGACTTCACCTTCTTGTCGTACCATTCTCCCTGATATTCGTATTCATCGGCGCCGCCGCCATAACGCTCGTCGGCACTATCCCAATCGGCACTATCCCAATGTCCGTGTTGCTTCTGAGACAACCCCGCCTGTACCTGTTTAAAGTTTTCATACTCCCAGTCCGGTCCTTCGTCGGCGAGGGCAACGTAGCGCAATGTCCGTATAGCGCCTGCACAACGCTTCGGGAGTTTTTTCGCCATTTCCACTCGCGCGTCGTACATCTGTACTGCGACCTCCTGGGAAACGTAATAGCAAGTCCATTTACCATCCTCATCGTACCAATCATCACCTATAGTCCGTCGCGAAGGCATTTGGGTTAGGTGCAGCCGAAGACACACAAGGGACAGCGGGCGTAAGGCGCTGGGTATGTTTGCCTGGATGACCATCCGTCAGCGTGACACTGATGCGAATGGGACACAATAACACTGCATTACCAGCCAATTTGCGTATTCCTCCCCCAATCTGCTTAGAGTGACCTTCAGCTCCAAGTATCGTAGGCGAGGGGCAATCTCAGGGATGCCTGCCCAGAAGCGCATTGGCTGCACCCCTACTTCTACGGAAAGCTGCGCCCGTACCGGCGACACTTTTCGAAGTATCATCAGAACGGGCTCGAGTTCCACCGGCCAAGTCCACGAGTTATCGATATCCTCGGCGAAGGTACAATCCACTCGCAAATGAAATGCCTGATTTATGACGTCTTTGGCGCGGTGCATCACCAACTCCGAAGAGAGGATCACCGAGCGAAGAGCACCCCAGGTGGTGCCCGCCCATGGAGTGTCGATCGGCTCTCTGTTCTCCCAGCTGTGGTCCCTGTCGTCGCTGATATCCCGGCGCCTATCATGGATGCTAGTGCCAACGACGGAAAGGTTAGGGCAGAGCGTGACGAGGTCCAACGCGGCTGCTGAGGGCTCCTCTAAGAAAAGCTGCTGGATAGATGGATATAGTGGGAGTGTTTCGGTATGGTGCGGACCGCGACACGACCGGTCGGGAGAAAAGTGTCGCAGCTTCAGCGAAACGAGGCGCGGGAAAGCCGAGATGGTGCGGAATAGAGGGGGATATGCATCGTCACACCACCAGCTGCTACAATTTAGAGAAAGCGTGACAAGATCCCGTCCGCTGGTACGATGAACATTCCCGGCGACAGACTCGTTAGCAAGAGCATCGCCTGGGACGCCGTCGAGCTCAAGCCGGGATAGTTGCGGTAGTGATGCCACGGCCGTTACGACCCGAGGATCAGAACGCCGAAGGGCCGCAAAGCGTTCGATAGTCAATCTGCGGATATTCGGAGCATTCATCAACAGCTCGTATATGAGTGGCGCGACCGGGGGTTCCAGATCCTTTGGATCGTGTCCGTCGAAAATTTCATCGTCGCGACCGTAAATCTCCTCGAAGGTCGTCATCGCCGACTCGCGGATAACGAGGTTGTGAATGTGGCGCGCACGTAGAGGATTGTCGCGGACCATGATGTGATGTAGAGCTCGGAGTGTGCCTGTAGACCAGCAGTCGATCACCGCAGCGACTCGAGGAATGGCAATGTCGTAGACACGCTTAGAGGTGAGGGAGAGTGATAGAGCAGTTCGACCATGTAAGTAGTCGGCGATGTGACGAAGGACGTCGTCATTGAGGACAGGCCCCTGAGAGGTCATCGTATGCAGCGGCGAAGATGTGTGCTGGAGCACATCTAGGTTTTATTATGGCCCAACGCCGTTCCCACGACATTGGGAAGTCTCCTTACTTCAGGGCAAGTGCACCTGCGGTAGAGCCCTATCTCAAGAAGTCAACAATCAGATGCAGAATATATGGTCACAGGACCCACTGAGGATTACCGCAGACGTTTCGGACGCTGTTTGCGACTTGAAGTAGTCTGCCGAGCGATTGAGGGACGACGATCAACTGGGCCTGAGAATGGACCATCCATATAATTGCCCGCGGCTGTGAACATGGAAGGACGCCTTCGCTGTTCAGGCGACGCCTCTACTACGCAATCGAGCGCCGTTTCACCTATCATAAACAGTCGCCCTTCCGATGCATCCACTTCCGTCTCACAATAGTTGTGAAAATAAGGCAGAGTGCTTCTCGCCTTCGCATCGAGAGCCTAGGCCTTACCGCAGTGCACATGGGTTCATGGTGTTCATGGTAGCATGCCTCTACGTAAAAACTCTCCTGATCCGGCCTACAGCTCTTCATGACAGGATAAGCGACGACAGTGTCATTGATGAGAGGAGGCATCCTCACCACCAATATGCCATGGGGTCTCCAGATCTGTCGAAGACCGTCTGCGCTCGTCTTCCTCGCTCCGTCATGAGCGTGTATGAGCGCTGGGGCGAGATGTGCTGGAGAGCTTCCAGAAGTCGACGAGAGTTCAGCGAGGCTCCACCCATTGGGATCGAATGAAGGCCGCAGCAGAACCGCTCTCTGCTCCAGACAGCTCGATGCGGCTGAGCTTGCGCGTAGGACCCCGGGGTCAGAGCTCGACACGTCAGGTAGAATGGGCCAGCAAGATCCGGGGCCTGTTAAATGATGTCAGCAACTGTTCAGATGGTCGGCAGGTCATCGATGTCTCCTACTCCCCGTTCGAGGTTACTTCCCGATGCTGCGGATTGTATACGCAGAGAGACGCGAGAATGGACAGCTGGTCGTCCGCGTATCGTGCGAGAGGCTCTGATCCACGGAGGCGGTCAGGGAGATTCGACGGCAATCTGTGGGGTTCGTCGCATCCAACTGTTGCTGCAACGGGGCGCGTGGCCACTCCGCATGTCTGGAGGCGAGGGCGAAGTACGATGGATCGTTGCCATAAGCGATATAGCGAATGACGTCGCCGTCGACATCAGGAGCAGCAAGAGCATTCTGCGGGAAGGGAAACCTATGTGCTACGAAAGGCTCGAGCGAGGTTCGAGATTACGGTCAATCGGGCCCGGGAATGCTTCAATGAGTCCGTCCATAGGACAATGATTTTCGATCGCAGGGTCCGCTGGAGTTGAGACGCTACATGAGCCTCGATTGTAAGTGATCCATGACACACATCAGGTGACCGGCATGGTAGCGAGCTGCAAGGCTTGCGACAATGGAGAGCCCGAGTTAAGGGGTATCCATACCTGTAGGAATTTTTGGGCGAGCAAAAGCGCAGTACCTCACCAGAAAATTTGGCCCCACGTGCAGATTGTTCGGCGTGGTTGCAGAGCCGATCGGGCTTTGCCTCCACCATGTGCGAGCGGCATACTGGGTGTAGAGAGCTCCGGGGACTTAGTAACACAAGATACGGGCCAGCTATCTGACTCACGAAGCCCTTGGCTAAACTCAGGATGATCAATCTGCATGCTCCGTAATCCCCGCCGTCAAGGCCTCAAAAAGCATAGGTATGCCAGCAAGGTACGTAGCTTCGCCGTAGTTCATACACCCCGAGGTCAGCTTATCGTGGCCATCGCTGCACCGTTCACCCACTCACGAGGCACATAGGCACACTTTGTGACAGACGATTAAACTGCACTATACAAACCAAACGATGTCGTCGAGCACCGCACCGGTCCCCGGAGACGCGATCGTGTCCATCCTCTACCCGGCCACGCTGCCCGGGACGTCGACGCCGAACAAGTTCGACCTGGAGTACTACGTCTCCAAACACATCCCGCTCGTCAAGGCGCGGGGGGCGGCGCTCGGGCTGAAGAGCATCGCGGTCGCGAGGCTGGACCCGAGCACGGGCTACGCGGTGGAGTGTGTGGCGGTGTGGGAGAACGCGGAGGCGTTCGGGGCAGTGACGAAGGATGAGGAGATCATGGGGGACGTGAGGAACTTCAGCGAGGTGCCGCCGACGGCGCGGATCGGGAAGGTGGTGGGATGAAGGCGGAAAGCGTGGTGTTGAGGGGAGAGATGGGTACGCTGAAGTGTGGTCATGGGATTGAGGAGTGTAATGTGAGCGGTGCTTGTCGTTGGCAAGTGAACGCTCGGGAATCGCAAGATAAGGGGAAATGACTGTGCTGGAAGTGAATCGCATGTACGTATCGACGCGCGATGCCGGATAGCTGAGGGCGTTGAGTACGACTGATGACCGATTGAGGCGAGAAGATCGTCGCCACAGAAGCGTCCACGGGAGTCACCGGCCCGTGACGGAGCATCCCCTGTCCCCACCATATGCAGATGCGAGAGGAGCACGACTAGCAACTCCCTGGCTTGGTCTCGCGGCTCACGATACTCCAGCGCAATTCGACTGTTTACGCAACTGGCGCTGTGTCTGCCCGCTAGATGGCGATCGAACGGGCTGGCGGTGGTGGAGACGACGTGCGCCGGACTTGGGAGTGTGATATCGGGCAGGGGATGGATGGGGCAGGAGTGGACGTTGGGGGGGATCGCTGACGGCCCCGCTCTTCCCCCGCTTGGATCTGCCCTCTGGCCGCGACGGATCCACCGCTTTCGTCATCATTCTCCTCTGCCCGCCCGTCCCTGCCAACCCAGAGCGAGCGCGCGTACAGAGAAGGACGTGTGGGTTAGCTCGGCGATGGGGCAGCAGACGGACACAGCCGCTTTCTCCCAACACTTGATATACCCCGCCAGCGACCTTTTGGACAACCTCGCAGCTTACTATCCTCCTTTCTCATCTTCATCCGCCCGCTCCAAATCCCTCTTCTCCCCACATCCTGTCAATCCATCCGTCTCTCTCTCTCCCCGCCCGCTTGCCCCGTCCTCCAATAGCTGCTGCCCCTCCATTTACAACCATCCCTTATGTTCTCGCACGAACTCCTCGAGTACGCTCTCTCCATTCTCTCCATCCTCGACGCCATCGCTAACATGCATCCACCCAGCTTCGTGCCTACTCCTCACCCAGCCGACGCCCTCAGCACAGTCCACCCCCACGACGCTCACCTCGATCCCCTCTTTGATTCCTATATCGACTCGTCCTATCTCGATCAGTCCTTCGTCCGTCATATCTCTTCATTCATTCTCCCTCCCCCAACTGACCGTCTCTGCCCGTCAGTGCTCCGACTTCTCCTGCTGCGGACAGATCCTCCCTGACCTCCACCGTCTTCTCGAGCACTTCGAGGAACAGCACGTCCTCCCCTTCCCTACCGACTCCCGTCCCCTCTACTCCAGCCCCGTATACGCACAACCCCGGTCTGCCGCCTCCGCCCCTTACGCCTCCTACATCCTAAGCTATCCCCAAACTGATCCCCCCCTCCAGCCCGTGTCGCATCCCATCTCCTCGGCACACTACCGTCCGCGCGTCCTGCCAGACCTCGATCTCTCGAGAATACCTCCTGTCCCCGACCTCTCACTCTCCCCGCTTTCAAACTCCTCCGCATACTCTTCGCCTTCCCTCGGCGAGCCTATCTGCCTACCGCCTTCTCTGTTCACCGTACAACCTTCTCGTCCACCGTCCCCGTCCCGTTCCTCTCGTCGCGATCGTGCCCGCGCCCGAGATACGTCGGACACGGACCGTGATCATCAAGAAGCCCGCCATACTCCAACCGCAAACGGGCACCCGAAGCCGTCCTCCGGCGCTGGGCCACAACGAACGGCAATTCACTATTCGGCTGCGCGCGTAGACCCTACCTCGCACAGTCGGCCCGTCGCCCGCACCCCGGAGCGCGCGACTCTCGCTGCCAGCGTGGCTCCCCCTAGCCCCGCGTCGAAGCGAAGAGATGGGCGCGAGAAGGCGTACAAGTGTCCGGTGAGTGTGCGATTCGTCCCTGCATCTTGTCTTTCGCCGTCCCGGATGTCTTCAAGTGAGTGATCGCGTGCACGCTGCGTGCCCCACGCGAGCCGCTCAGGCCCCGCGCATCTGTCATCTTATGCGTCTCAAGGACGAATTCGCTAGTTTCGCGGACGGGTGCAGATGTTTTTCCCCGCGGGGCGCGCATCTTTTGCGAGCGGCATAGGCGCACGTTATAGCGGCAAACATCGCGATGTTCAATTGATGGCACCCGCGCGACGAACACCACTTCGCATTGACCGGCTGGAGCGCGCATAGCGTAGTCGGCGATACTCGCGCCACCGCGCTCTTCGACTACTCATCAGCTGCGCTCGCCCCCGAGGATTGGTGGTTTCACAGATGTGCCTTCCCCGATGAATGCGCGGGCAGGCTAAGCGTTGGACTCGAGGCGTCTTCATGACATGTGTAGATATGCTTCAGCATGACGCTGACCAGTGTTTGTTCTTCTGCATATTCTATCCACTTATCAAATGCTCAACGAACCCCCCGCGGACCTTACGACGTGACGGTCTCCGATCCCCTCTCCTTGAACACGGGCGGAACACGGCTCCGAACCTCCCTAAACTCACATCGACCCGCGTCCCTGTCGCGAACTTCAAACTCTATTGGGCACGCGTCATCTAGCATCCCGGTTGTACGAAAGTACGTCTTCTCTTGCTTCTGACGTGACGCCTTTCGCGGACGCTGACGTCTTCCCGCATCCGTTTGCAGTCGTACCTCAACCCCAACGGACTCAAGTACCACCTCGAAAAAGGCACATGCACCAACGCGGACGTGCGTCCACGGCAGCAGTTGCCACCTTCGGACTTTGACTCCGCCGAGTCTCAGTCGGTTCACGTGTCCGTATCTGTGTCGGCCTCCGGCGCGCCTGAGACTGTGTCGGTCACCGCGAGCGATGATGTGCCAAATCACGCGGACGTCGAGGCACAACCGCAGACCATCCAAAACCAGAATTGAAAAGAAGAAATGAACGCGTCAAAACAGAAAGCGAAAGCGTTTTCTCCAGTCACGTTCTCCGGTGCTTCAACGTCTGGGGTGTGGAGGATCGCAACTTCCGTATATTCCTTCCTTTTAGACCCCTCTTCATGCGCCTCCCGTTCCCCATTTGTGTTCCCAATCTCACGCGCTCCTTGCTCGGACACCCTCGGACCCCGCACCCGCGACCTCACGACCGCGCGACGATCTCCAAGACATATCTAGCGTGTCGTGCATGATCGTCGTCCGAGCGCTCCCTCCATACGCGGAGGCTCTCGGTCCACGAGAGCAGCTCTCTCCGCGCTGCGCGACGCGGGGTTCCGCGTCGCGCATACAATCTATGTACGACTTTGATGGAGTCGTACGTGTCTTGTGACCGCGACCGGGCTTCGGTAAGGGCGTGGACCTATCTGATGTATCATAGATTTCATTTTTACGGGCGTGCTACTCGATGTATGTTCAGAGGGTTGGGCTGTACTGGTACTGTGTACTTTGTTGGGGTTCGTGTAAATCTGGCTAATCGGATGCGATGTTCTGTCGTTCGGTCACACGGGGTTAACAGCGGACCTGATGGCATGAAGAGGATTCAAGCGAGACAATCTCTACTGCGGGTTACAGCACCGTCGCGAGAGGTTCTCTGACATATCTGCTACCACTTGAGAAGCAGTCGACTAGAAAAGAACCGCTTGTGTTGTGATATCACGTAATCAAAGCTCCAACTCTCGCTGATCATCGCTCCCTGTGCACCCGAGCCAGACCACAACTGTCATGGAACCCACGGGCTCGCGTGCCTCAGCTCAAGCTCCCCGTAGTGACATTGACGCAAGTATTGACCCCGACGTCCACCCCAGAACCGGCTGACCGACCGAGTCGGCATACACGCAAGGAACACCGGGCTGCAACTTGTATGTCCCTGGAACTCTATCCACCCATGCATACAACGTCGACGTCCCCGGAGCCTGGATGCCCCCCCCCCCTGCGGCCACGGTGCCTGCTCATAAGATGTCGCGCACCTTCATGCTAACATGGGAAGGGGATCTGCCTGGTTGGGCCGCACGCACACAAAGCGCCGAGATGGAACGCACCCGCGTTTCTCGCGCGCGTCGTTGGGGCAGAATTGGTGCGTTTCGGCGTGACGTATGGTGCGAGAAAAAGAGCATGTGCCTGGTCGCTCATGAATATGTAGCAAACCGGTCGACAGATCTGCCATGGGCCCAGGCTTCGCCTTTGCAGAGCCGCTCGCGATCCACAGCTCTGCGCTACCTGCGGAGCCCCTCAAGTCGTCGGGATGAACCTATTCAGGCATAGAGTTTCGTTTCGAAGCATGTGCTAGGCCGTAGGAACGTACGCAGGCGACCTTCAGGCGATCGGCTGCGGCGCAGAGCGCACAAGGTCCATTCGGTAACTCATTCGCCATGACGTTGGCAGCCGAAGCGACTTTGAACGTCTGCGTAACGGGGCTTACCCGCGAAGGTTTGCAGTCCGCCGCCGTCTGCACGGTCCCGGAGCCCTCCTGATGCGCACCAGATCGACAGCTCAGCAATTGGGCTCCCAAGTTTGCCAGCTTTGGGCCAAAGAGCGAGCTCGAGGTCCGGTTTTCCGGAAACTTTGCGCGCGAAGGCGGAGGTTGACTGGTCGATTTCGGCCGGGCGTGCGCAGCGTTTACGTCTGGGCGTCGCGGTGCTCCCGCTAACGGAACGCCGAAAGAATCGACGTTAGTGGTAGTGCTATTTCGTCGCGGTACGTACATACGGGAGATATCACGTACGGTGCCCTGGGGCCCGAACACTCGTGCCTATGCGACGCTCGTCCTAGCTCTGTGATCGAGTTGTGTCAGTCTGCCGTTCTTGTCTTCTAGTCCCTTTCGACAAGCGAATAAACCAACCGAGCTAGGTATGTGGAAACAGCACGACTTTCACCCAGCTTCGTGGTGAGGCCGACCTCCTTTTGGTCGATATGTGCGATTAGAAGGTTGGCTCAGTGCAAAATCGACACCCCCTGTCATGCCGTCACACACCTGGTGTCCTCCTGCCCTTCCCCGCTTGTGGTAGCTGGACAGAAGTGATCCGCAAGAATGTGTGAGTGGTAGGACCACCCCTATGCACTTCTTCTCGAGCGCGGAAGGCGGCGAGAAATCTGCCAGAGGTTCGCCTGCTCACGTGATTATCACGTGAGAGGTGTCGAATATGCATTAGGCCAACCTGAACTTCAGCAGACGGCCCGTCTTCTCGCGTTCGCCATGTCGGCGAGGCCTGAAAGCGTACAAGGGCTCTCAGTCAGCTGTTTGAGCCACCCGTGCATGGGGAGAACGCATAGACCGCGAAAGGCGTCCAATCGCGTGGCGCCCCGACACTCGGCTGCAGCGCCCTGAAGCCTGTCTCCCGACTCTCGATCGCCCGGCGAGTGTCAGACCGGCAGCGACAGGAGTTTAGTAGCATGTGCTAAACTCCATGTAATATGACGCGATCGTGTTTGAGATGTCGAGAGCCGCCTCCGGTGCTGAGAGCACCGTGGAGATAGTAGTTTGGGGCTGTCGGGTCATTGGAGATGCCAAGAATTTGCGAAAATTATCTTCAAGTGCGATGCTCAAACTTAGTAGTACTAGTTAGTGTTAGTGGGAACGAAGAATGTTTTTGTCGAGGCGTTAGCAGGGAGTCGGAATTGGGCAGGAACACTGGGGTCATGATACATCTGCTGTTGAACGCCCGAATGCGACCCCTCGCGACGGCCGAATCGGACCGCCTGCGTGAAGTGCGACCTCCAACAATTGCGGTACGTCATGCATCAACAGGGCCACGAACACGCGGGTATGTACATACGAACGAGGCGGAAGCAAACCGCGACGAACAGCTCACGAGCAGGGCACCTGTGCGCGATGCGACAGGCGGTGGTCGATGGTCATGAACGTTGCATATAGTTCATCTCGCGTTCGTGCATGTAGAGAGGCGCATACAGTACATACCGCCAGGTCCGCCCCTCCTTCCTGCTTGTGATCTCCGCAGCTAATTGCGCCGCGGTTAGGAGACGGCTGGCCGATAGAGACAACGGAGATCACGAACGTCTAGAACAGGGGCATGAGGAAGGCGACATGTAGGTGGACCCACAACCTCGCTTGCGCTCGCGCTAGGTCGCGATGCCGATGGAAAATGTGTCAATAGCCGACCTGTGAAGTATGAGGCGACGGGAACTTGGAGACTCTCGGTGAAGGGTGTCGCTTAGGGGAACGTGGACAAGGGGGCGGACTCTTTCCATGCGGAAGCATCTCGCGAGCAGGGGTCGCAAGCGAAGCGAGAGACGGGGAAGGAGAAGGGCATTCTTCTTGTTTACTGTGGGACTGATCAACAGAAGGTTCGGTGTACATATGGGGAGTGGGATGTGCAAACGTCACTTCCGGGTGGGGCGGTGGGCCCGCACGGGATAATTGGAGTAAAGGGTGCTTCGCGGGGTCTGAATGCGTCCCGGGTGATAAACTCGGGGCTGTGAAGACAAGGATTAGATCCGACTAGAGTCGAAGCAAGATCTTCAGTCAGTAAGGAAAGACTATATTGCAGCAACGAACTGTACCTAGAGTCGAAGCAAGACTACAAAGGTTAAGTAAGTAACTACAAGTTAGAGGTAAAGGTAACGAAGTACTCACTCTTCAGTCAGTAAGGAAAGACTGAAGAGGGAGGACGCAATCTGAAGTCCTTATATACTACAGAGAAGTGTCCATGACTAATCGAAGAGTGGTTAGTCACATGTACCATAGTGCGATGAATAATACGATGGTGAAAGAATTGCGACGTATCGCACCATAGGATGAGTAAGAGATGAGTAAGGCATAGACCTGTCTAGACCGTTCTGGAGTAGTACGGATTGTCCTAGACAGTACCAGAAGAGTCCGGAAGCATAGCTATAGTACACGAGCAGAGAGTCCCAAATATGGTAACATACTACATAAGCGACTACAGCTAAGCGCTAGGAGACGCATAGCCTCGTGTAGTCCGGACCGGATAAGTCCAAGTTCAACACCGGGCAACTGCGCAGTTATGTAGTAGGGAATGAACCGGGCAGTTCTAATTACGAAAAGCCGGAAGCGCGAGGGAGCGCGAGATTGCACGAGCGAGTGTTGTACTGTATGCCAAACTTTGGAGTCGGTACTTGCCCTCGGTAGAAGCTCGTTCGCATAGCCTAAACGGGGGAAAGCTGGGGAGTATGATGACGAGCGAATGAGAGAGCCAACGATTGCGAACCGATGGATATGAATAGCGACGATGACGATGCGTTCAGACATGCATTGTACTGAGCTTGAGTTGTGAGGTTCGGACTAACTTCTCAGTGACATCCCAAACTACCTTTCATAGTGGAACAAACGGCCAATGCCGTGGGCTATCAATTGCAAGTGTCTCCGGACGTCCTTCAGGAAGGAGCATCGCCAGGTTCCTACCGATACTATCGCGACCCCAGTGTTCGGACAGACCCCAGTGTTCGGACAAACGACCGTATCTCCGTCATTGTCCACTCGATAAACTTGCAAGTTGGAAGGTAGGTGCCCATATGTGTTCCAAATAAGCAGCAAAAAGAACTGAATTTATATCATAAGCCCTTGGGGCGATCTTGTGGAAGGGAGTGGTGCAACCCTTCCCTATCAAAGCTTCGGGAGTCTCGCTTCGTATCCCTCTTCGGGCGCTTCCATACAAATTTCGTGTACGTATTTCTACCTACGCATTTTACTCACTACCCAATTTTCCGAGGCCTGCTCAGGGGAACACAGAGGAGAAACAAGAAGCAGCCCTCAAGGGCGTGACAATGCAGCCACAGTTTGACTCTCCGACTTGCTCGGGATGCTCGGCTAAGGCTCATCAAGCTGGAGACGGGATTCCTGAGACCGGCAGGTGTCGGCAAGCGTGACAGATCGTG